TCCATTGGACCACACCGTGAGCTTATGGCTAGACTCGACTTGCTCGTCTTGCATGCGACGAGGGACGTTGTTTGAGGCAACAGCCTCAGACCTTGCCCTCTGTTGTTGCTGAACCTCGTTGGGTCGTGCCCCATTAGGCGAAAGCCCGTTAACTGGAGGAATATTCTGATTAGGGGGTGCTGCTGTGTCACCTAGTGGTGGCGGTGGTGCCAACTGAGCCATCGCCATTTGCAAAGTGTTATTCTGCTGTTAAAGCAAGGCGATCTGAGCCACGTTAACTTCGTTTGCTTGACGAAGTACGTCAAACTAGTGTAGAAACTCTTCACGTATCTTTTGCATCAACTCCGTCTGTTGATCTGTTAAAGATCCTCCGTTCGACATTCCGGATGGTAGTTGCAGGATTCACTTGTGAAACAAGAGTGGGAATATATTTGCACACGTTCCCACAGACGGCGCCAAAGTGTAGGTGTAAAATTCCGCTCAACCAATAACGATTGAGAAAAATAATACAACACACTCAAAAACAGTAAAGACAAATAAGAATCATGTATATAGAAGCGTGGAATTGCTTGGATCTTTTTATTGGAGGTCTGGGCCCCTATTTATACACAAAAATTGGTAGAATTAAGGTAGGACTCGCGTTGCTTGTCCTCCAATTCTTCCCATACATGACTTTCTTTACAAATAGAGTTATTTCTATTGTATAATATTTTCTACGTAGAACTTGCCTTGTATAGAATTTCCTATCAAAGAGTTCTCCTTTTATGATAAATCCTTCTACCGATAGGATTTGTCCAATCTTGGAGAACTGGGCTGAATATACCTTGAACCAGTTGGGCTTGAATAATGGCCGGATGTTTGATGTTACCATGTTGGGCTGATAATTTCTTGATTCAGGCTTCAACAGGGCTGAAGGTCAAATAACAATAGTATTGGGGTTGTGAACAGTGATCTTGGACTAACCTCAAACTCAATTTGGGTTTGAGCAAGGTGGGCTTCATAAACTCATCAAGGATAAGTTTATATTTATGATGACGTGGATTATTCTCATTGGAGGGAGATTTTTCCCTCCACACATGTCATGATCAAAAAGTATACTCGTTGAATTGTTAGTTGAGTTCATGTGCTAATTTGGTAAGTTGACTTATAACCTAAACATATTATCTTACTTTTCATGATATAGAGAATATGGAAATTGAAAATTTAAGACAAAATCTCAACTTAGTGCGCACCAAGCATTTCAAAAGTCCTAACAAAAAAAGTTAGGACTATTTACCAATTCAAATAACTATCAAATCCATGTAGTAATCTCTTCAGTTTAAGGGTTCAGTTTGTATAGGAATAAAGTGGGTGTGTATATTAACCTTTCCATTAAAAAAAAATGAAACAAATAGAAAATCCAAACTTATTTAATAAAGGCAAACTTTTTCCATTTTTGTCTAACTATATCTTTGTGAGTTGCTTTACATATCTATTTTGTTTAGATATCTATATTTTATAGAAAAAATTCATTTCAAATTGAAAAACTTAACAGACTACTAGCTAATGCGAATCGAAGGAAATCTATAATACGAATGCCTTCGTAGTCTAGTAGTTGGATTGCTTCCCGTTGTTCTTGGGAGCCCAGTTTCATACCTCTAACTTCTAATCTAATATTCTTGCCTAGAAAAATAAAAAAATAAAATAAAAAATAAAAAATAAAAAAATTCCATAACCATTGAAAGACAATCATACCTATTGAACCAATATATAAAATTTTATCAATTCTTTGTTATGCATTTAGATGGAAGATGTAACACCGTTGCAGAAATCTGGGTGTTTCGTTTTTTATTTACTTATTAATTATCGAATTATTTGTTTAAAGTTCAACTTAAGAGCACTCCTTAATCTTTATGTATAAAGAGGAAGAGAGATGGATTATGAATTTCTCAATAATGGGAGATAAAAAGTCGACAAAATTGGTCCACACATAAAAATGGTTTTGGTAATAAAAATGATTTACCAAAGAATCCAAGAGGGGGAATGAATGTGGAAGTTTAATACAAAAATAATTTATATGAGGTGAATAAGTTTTACTTGTTCATTTATTTAATTTTTAAATGATTTTAATTTTATTAAAATTACAACTCACAAAACAAAAAGAAAATGCATGTATAGTAAATAAAGTTTGAAAGATAACACCATATTTTTTGTGTATGGAAATCCTAATTGGAAGAAATCCGACCAACAAGGATGAAAAACACGGAGACTTTCGTAACCTCGAGTGATACAATCCACTATCTTCGAAACAAAGTACAACAAACTCTGACTTAGGCTCACAACCTCACACTTACTCCACCCTACCAAAAATTAGTTGTTGAATATCCCAGGCTTACTCTCGTGACTACCCGTCCGATTGCAGACTCCAGACTTACTCCACAATCCTTATAAAAGGGTAATTGGTAGATCACGAAGACTCCGTGAATGCTCTGACCATTCGTAGCTCGATTGTTTCCTCATTTTCTTTAAATCTGAATTGATGAAGACAAATAGAATACACGTTTTTCTGAACATAATTGACTGAATCTTCAATATGCTTGAACTCCGATTAGATAAAGAACACCACCCTAAGATCACTCTTGTGCAATAATGTGTGCTCTCCAGTATATATAGAACAATTAAAGTGATTTTTTGTAGAAAAATACTCTCAAACAATTCTTTCGATTAGAAAAGTATTAATCTTCATGTGACATTTCACATTTTTCTGCATTTTTCGACATTTTTTGAATTTCTTTTTTGTTTTCGCATTTATTTTTCACATGCATCATTTTGCATGCCACGTGGTTCCTGGGAGTCATTTAGGGTATTTATTTAAGTTTAGAACTCTTAAAAATGCATTACGAGTCAATTTACCATTTTTTAAAATTTTGAGCCAGGAGACCTGTGTAGGCCCCACGCTCGAATTTTCGTGCTCGAAATTTTTTTCCGGGTCCATTTGTGTTTATAATTATTAGTTAGCACTTATATGTGTATATATGTGGAAATTTACATGCATATGGTGTTAATGTGATTAATTGAACAAAGAAAGGCATTTAGGACATGTTGGTGGTTAAAAGTGGACCCCATCATTGACCACACATGTGACTAAAGTGAGGAGACTTCAGATTTATGCCCATTTCTTCTCCTCACAACTAGGGCTGCAAATGAACTGAGCTGTTCATGAACTGTTCGGGCTCAGCTCATTAAAAGCTCGATTCGGGCTTATTCGTTTAGTAAACGAGCCAATCTCGAGCTCAATTTTCAAGCTCGTTTAGTAAACGAGCCGAGCTTGAGCAACATTGAGCTCAGCTCGTTAGGATCGTGAACAAGCTCGTTAACTGGCCTATTTGTATTATCATTCTACAAGCCCATATTTAATTACTACTTTACATCTAAAAGATTTAGCCCATAAAACTAAACTTTAGCCTAACTCATATAATTTCATTAAGGCTCATTAGTTGTCCACCATCGAAATAAGATATCATCTTAGCCTTAGAATCTAATACATCTCAGCCATTAGTTTACTAAAGTTAAAAGAGATAAGAAGATAAACCCTAGAACTATAAACTACAGTGGCATGTCCTCTTTAGCTCGTCGCATGGTATCATTGTCAGCCCTCTACAGCCACATGCGACACAACTCTCTCTCTCTCTCTCTATATATATATATATATATCTATATATATATATATCTATTACTTTTTAACAAATCTTAAGCTCAAGAAAAGATTGAATCAAGGATTAAGAAATTTCGGACAAAATGGCCGATTATTTATGGAGTCGATAACCTTGTCAGGTTTGATTTCAACTTGAAGCTCTGTATTTTATTTTCTTGTCTGATCCATATCAAATGAATTTATTTCTTATTGAAGACGGAGATTAGATTTTATGGAGGAGATGTTCTTTGATTGGTGATAGACTAACAGTTGGTAGGTAGATAATCCTGAGATGAGCCGAGCCCAAGCTTGGCGTCTACCGAGCCCGAGCCCGAGCTTGGCAGCCAAGCTTGCCCGAGCAGCTCTCTGAAGTTGATGAGCCAAGCTCGAGCAAGCCAAAGCTCAGCTCGGCTCGGTTCATTTGCAACCCTACTCACAGCAGCCAACATCTTCTTCTTCTCTCTTTATATTCACTCTCTCTCTACAAGAACACAAAACCTTCTCACAAATCCACAAAATTAGATAAAGAACACCACCCTAAGATCACTCTCTTGCAATAATGTGTGCTCTCTAGTATATAAAAATAAATAAAACAATCAAAGTGATTTTCTGTAGAAAAATACTCTCAAACAATTCTCTAGATTAGAAAAATATTAATCTTCATGTGACGTTTCACATTTTTTTTTGCATTTTTCGACATTTTTTTAATTTCTTTTTTCTTTTCGCATTTATTTTTTGCATGCATCGTTTTGTGTGCCACGTGGTTCCCGAGAGTCATTTAGAATATTTATTTAAGTTTAAAACCCTTAAAAATGCATTACGAGTTGATTTACCATTTTTTAGATTTTTGAACCTAAAGACCCAGTGTAGGCTCCATGCTTGAATTTTCGTGCTCGAAAATTTTTTCGGAGTCCATTTGTATTTTATAATTATTATTTAGTACTTATATGCGTATATCTGTGGAAAATTACATGCATACGGTATTAATGTGATTAATTGAACAAAGAAAGGCATTTAGGACATTTTGGTGGTCAGAGGTGGACCCCACCATTGACCATGTGACTAAAGCGAGGAGACTTCAGATTTCTGCCCATTTCTTCTCATTGCTGCAACCGACATCTTCTTCTCTCTCTATATTCACTCCCCCCTCTCCCTCTCTCTCTCTCTCTCTCTCTCTCTACAAGAACACAAAACCTTCTCACAAAACGACAATTTTATCTACCTGCACCCAAAATTTATCAAACCCAGCAAAGGCTTCATTTTGATCCGAAAATATTAGCATTTGGAGGTCATTGGTGATTTCAAAAATTGAGGTAGTGTTATCTAATTAGTGTAATTCTTGAGTATTGTAATCAATCCATGTTTTTCCCCTTTACAAGCATGCCAATTTGATGTTAATCGTGTAGTTCATTTGCTACTTGTTAATAACCATGACAAATTGATGTTACTTTGCAATGAAATTGAATTATGTTATGCCAAGCATGCTATATGTTTGTAAATTGGTATCAACTTAATTTTATAATTTTAACTTTAAATGACTGTTTTACTCTTGTGAGCCTTAGGGCTCGAGCGTGAAACCGAAGTCGGTGATATCACACTTTCATGATCTGATGTGATTAGAAAGGACCGGTATGTCTTCATTTTGACATCTAACACCTAGTAAGATGTATGATAACCTTTTTATCTTTGATTGGTCTCGGGTTCAGTAAGAACTCATTAACGACTCGGACCCATTCGATTTGGGTCGTGACACTTCAAGTCTTAAAAATGTTGGAGAGAGAGAGTATATATAGGCTTAGAGAGTCCTAAAACAGGCAAAAAGAAGTTTTAAAATTGTGCAAGTTCAACCCTAAAAGTTCTGGTAAAAATAGAAAACTAAAAAGATACCAAACTTTGATTTTTTGCACATTAGGCAAGTGTAACAGAGTTTTGCTGGGACTGTTACTGGTAATACAGGTACTTCAACGGTTCAACCGGTTGTAAATAAAGGTCAACCAGTTGTTGTTCTGTTTTGTCGCATTTGAATGATTTTCTTTTCTTCAAAAAAGAAAAGAAGAAAATATATTATGTCTCACGTGAGGTGAAATACGAGACCGACCCGTCAAACCATTTCTGATTGAGCTATTCAGGGTTATACGTACAAAGCATCTTCTTAGTTCCGAGGAGATAGAAATGTCCAAGGTGGACCCGAATTCTATCCTGGAAATCTTATCCGGTTTTATGCAATGCAGCTCCACCAATAATGATTACACCACTATATAATCTATCCAACACAACTACAAATCTTTCATCTAAGTCGAGCAGAAACTTTTTCGTCGAATGACAAATGACAAATGAAGTGTTACAAATGACACCAGATCTGTGACGTCAGCAATAATTTAATATAAAGTAGAATTATACTTCAAGGAGATATCCATGCTGGCCGCATTTTAACACCATCACCATCCCACGTTTTTCACACACAAGGAGAGAGAGAGAGAGAGAGAGAGAGAGAGAGAGAGAGAGTGTTCGCTCTATAAATCTCTTTTATTGGAAGAGAGGGAGCACTTTTCATTCCTGAGATCAGAGGGGAAGGAGGATAGGAGGCGTACATGTTCTTGGCAGCTAGTAGTGATACAGTAAGTACAAATTTTTTAATCAGGTTAATTCATTTATTTTAGGTCAATTATTGTCTTTCTTTTTTTTTTTTTTTTCATTTTTTTACGGTAAGTAATTTTTTACTTTGATCATTACTTGATTAATTGTCAATTATTGTCTTCTTTTTTCTTTTTTCTTTTTTCCCGGTAAGTAATTTCTTACTTTGATCATTACCTGATTAATTATAAACTAATTAGAGAGGTTAAATACGATTTGGATTACTTTATTAAATTTGTGATACTTTTGTCAAATAATTTTTTTTTTTTTTTTTTTTTTTTTGGGGAAATTAAAGCCACTAACATATATAAAATAAGTGAATGTACAAACAGGCCTTTGGCCAAAACATCCCAAAAGGGACATATATAAAATAAGTAAATGTACAAACGGGCCTTTGGCCAAAACAGCCTAAAAGGGAGAATTGGTCCAAGAAGGATAAACACCCCAAGAAAGGGAACAAGCAATAGCCCAACAAGGTAACTAAACTAACTACCCCAATTAACGCACTAAAAGCCGCTGATTAGCAAAAGCAGTTGAAACATTCCAGTGACAAGGACACTGTCCTCCATTGTAAGAGAGCAATTGGCAACTCAATCCGACGGACGCGGCGGTGGGCGGCAACAAGAAGGAGAGAGGTTCCAGTCATTTTGAATGCGACGAGAGGTTGCGCAATCCTTAAGGAACCCTAGTTTGAGGATGGAGGTGATGGTGTAGCAAACCTTTGCTAGGATTGTTCTCTGAGATGGCTTCTTCCTTTGAAAGATAGTGGCATTGCGTTCTTCCTAAGTGCAATTAACCACAGCTGATAGACCAATTTTGTGAAGCTGATTTGTTGGAGTGTTTGTCTTCCACAGTGAAACTAGAGAAGAATTGGATTTTGTCACGGATAAACATCCAAATTTGGGAGATAAAACAGCATCTAAAGAATAGGTGATCATGAGATTTCGCTTTGAGGCTGCATAGCACACATATGTTGCGGTGTTGTGCCATGGATTTGCTGTCAAGGGTAGGAAGTCTTGATTGAACAGCAAGCCATAGGTTAAAATTCATCCTTGGAATAGTTGGGGAGTGCCAAACTAAGTTTGACCATTGGACAAGTGGTAATTGACCTACAAGATAAGCTGAGGTGTGATTGAAGTTATATATACCTAAGGGGGAGATAGTCCAAAATTTCTTATCTCTCCTTGATGAGCATGGATGATTGAGAGAGTTTAATTCTGGAATTGAAGTGGTGTTGCAAATAGGAAAGGACCAAGAAGAATTTGTAATGAAGGCACTCACTGTAATATTCTTATTAAGACCAGCATCAGAGAGAATTGAAATTGGGAATCGTAATCATAATGGACCACCTAGAGCCCAATTATCCCACCAAAAGGATGTTTCATTGCCATCTCCAATTCTGTGTTTAATGATGGATCTTGCATGATGTCTCAGCTGCAGAATCTTCCTCCAACTCCCGGAACAAAGCTATGGAAAGGTAAGAGTCCAAAAATTCCTTGATTTGACTAGGTGTGTATGGCACAATTTAACCTATAGCTTGTTAGAATCATGAGATTAAAGGTCCCAAATGTATCTAAAAATACCAGCCTTGTTGCATACTTCCAAGTTTGGAATATCCAAAACCCTTGTATTCTTTGGTTTACAAATTTTACCCCAGGCAACTTTGGCACAAGAGGACTTCATTTCAGGTCTAAACTAAAGGAAAACACTGAAGATACTATTGAGCTGATTGATAACTGCTTTGGGGAGAATGAAGATACCTGACCAATAGAGTTGTGTAGAGACAAAGACTGCCTTGATTAACTGCAATTTACCAGCATAGGAAAGGGATCTAGAGGTCCAATGTATGATCCTGCCAGTTATCTTCTTAATAAGTAGGTTGCAGTGAGTGGATTTAAGGTTGGCTGAGATTAAAGGGACCCTAAGATACATAACTGGTAAGGTTCCAACCCCAATGCCAAGTAAAGAAATGATGCAGCCTTCTGTGATTGGATCAATGCCTGAGAAGAAAATGGAGTTTTTACTCAGGTTAATAGTAAGGCCAGACATTGTGCTAAAATGATCAAGAGCTGACTTCAAAACTGAGACAGAAGTAATATCAGCATAGCAAAGTAGAAGAAGATCATCAGCATATGAGAGATGTGTGATTTTTAGGTCTTTACACCTCAAATGGTACTTAAAAACATGAACTCTACTCACATAGCAGTTGACAATGGAAGAGAATGCATCCATAACAATAACAAAGAGGAAGGGAGAAATTGGATCCCCTTGTCTCAGGCCTCTTTTCCCTTTGAAATATCATTGGAATTCCCCATTTAGTGCAATGGTGAAGGATGGTGAGGAGATGCAAGCATGAATAAGTGAGATAAATTTATATGGGAAGCTGAGCAAGGTTAAGCAGTTGATTATGAAGTCCCATTTTATAGAATCAAAGGCTTTTCTCAAGTCTATCTTAATTGCACATCTTGGTGGGGAGCTGTCCTTATGGTAGCCTCTAAGTAGCTCATAAGCAAGGATGATTGGATCATTGATTTTTCTACCATGTATGAATACTGACTGTGAAGGGTTTATGATGAATGGAAGGGTGGATTGCAGCTTGTAGGCAAGAAACTTAGCAATGACCTTGTAAATTGTATTGCAGCATGAGATGGTCTATAGTCATGTAGGAAGGTAGGATTTTGACATTTTGGGACAAAGGAGATGTAGGTGTTGTTTGCCTCAGTTAAAAGTTTTCCATTTCTGAAGAATTCAGAGATTGCAGCAGTGACTGATTTACAAACAATGGACCAAGTTTTTTGAAAGAACAGGCCATTATAACCATCAGGACCAAGGGCTTTGTCCTTTTTGAGGTTCAACATACATTCTCTGATTTCAGTGTAGAAATGAGGATCATTAAGGAATCTATGAAGATGTTGAGGGACCTGCTTTATGATGAAAGGGACTAGGTCAGCTAGAAGGTGTGTAGTAGGGGGTGAGCAACCCAACATATTTTGGAAGTAAGAAACAACTTCAAGCTTGATGGATTCCATGTCATCAATGACTTACCCAGAATCAAGAAAAAGTGACATAATCTTCTTCCTATTATTTCTAGAAGCAATTGATTTGTGGAAGAAGATGGAGTTGCAATCTCCAAGTTTCAAGTAATTCATCCTTGATTTTTGTTTCAACATATCCTCTTGTATCTTTGCAAGCCTTAGATAATCAGTGATAAGAGACTTTTCCATCTCTCTAAGAAGCTCATCATTTGGGGCTTTATCAAAATCCAACTGGCATGTATCAAGTTCAATCTTCACAAAATGGAGCTTGGAATCAATTTCTAAGAATTCCTTCTTGTAGTTGGATCTTAGGACTATCTTTAAGTTTCTGAACTACTTAGAACATGGCTGTGCCCCTGATGTAGGAGCACCACATGCATTTCATGAACTGAAGGCAAGAACTTGGGATGGGATGACCAAGTATTGAAGAATTTGAATCGGACACACCTGTGGGGGATATTGAGTTCCATAGTAACAATAATGGGGTTCTGATCAGATATACTTGGAGGGAGAAATTTGCACTCTGCAAGTGGAAAGGAGGTGGACCACATGTGATTGACAAGTGCTTTATCCAGCTTTTTAGCGATGCATGCATTACCTTGGCTTCTATTACTCCAGGAAAAGAGAATGCCACTAAATTTAAGATTATCCAGTTTAGCCTGCTGCAGACAATTTTTGAATTCTGACATTGCTTGACATCTTCTTGTTGACCCTCCAAAGGTTTCAGCAGCACTAGGTATGACATTGAAGTCACCCATGACCAGCCAAGGAGACTGAGAGAACACACCAATAAAATGAATAATGCTTTCCAAAGCAGCTGCCTCTCATTTGCCATATTAGCAGCATAAATGAAGGAAGTGTGAAAGGTACAATTTTGCCCTATAATGGAAATAGAACAATGAATAGCTTAACTTTGAGCTCAATTTGGTGAGGATTCCACAGTACCCAAATTCTCCCAAGGGGAGAGAAGGGGTAGTTGTGGATAAGTGACCATGAAGGGCACAAAAACCTGTGGATGGATTCCACATTTGCAAGAGACACTTTTGTTTCTATAATTGAGACTAAATCTAGCTTTTTATCAGAGATTAGTCTCTTTATCTCTGACTGCTTAGAGGGGTGGTTCAACCCTCTAATATTCCATGTGGCAAAGGAGATCATTTAAAGTGTGGAGTAAAGGGAACTCCAGGATGTTTACACATCAATTCTGTGCTACTGCAAGGTTCCTTCCTAGCTTCATTCTTCATGGTTTTGGCTGTAAGTTTCCCTTTGGTGATAGAAGATGGATCACTCAATGAAGACAGTGCCTGAATTGGGTTTTGCAGTTCCAATTTCTGTACAGTAAGTGAGGGGGGAGAAGTTGACAGCTTATGTGGTTTGTGTGGTGTAGGGGTGGTGATTGTGTGTTTCTGTGGTCGAGCATCCCTCTTGGACTAAGGGAATGTAAGTGGTGGAGGTATAGAAGTTAATGGTTTATTAGGGGAAGGGGATTTGTACTCTTAAAAGTTGAGTTTCCTGATACAAAGAGGGGAGTAATTAGCAGGATGGTTAAAGAGGGGAGGTGAATTTGCAACTAAGTTTTGCACCATTGTTTGGTTTGAGGATGATATTGGGGATGATATTGAACTATGGTTAAAGGATAAAGGGGAGAATTAGTTGTTTGTAACAGTGATTGGTGGAGGGGATGATGGCTTTGGAGAGGGATAGTGACTTTTCCTGGTGGAGTGGGGTTGAGTCATCTGGTTTAGTGGTGAGAATTGGTTATTTGTTGTGGTGGTTGGGATGATGATTCTGGTAATGTGGCAGGTCTTTTGTTTTTCTTTCTAACTGTGATCCAATTGCTATTGCGATTCATCTCAGCTGGGCTGTGGTCTTTCATAGTAGAGCTAATAGGGGGTGGGGGTAGTTCTTTGGTGGAATGAGTAGTAGGTTTGATGTGATTGAGAGGGCAGGAGGCTTGAGTATGGTTAAGTTGGTTGCATTTCAGACAGAACTTTGGAAGCCACTGGTATTCGATTTTGATAGATTTAAATTTGTTTTCCTCAACCTTGATTTGAACCTCTGTTTGAAGTGGTTTGGAGAGGTTAAGATTAACACAAACTCTTGCATACTTGAGCTTAGTCATTCCTTCAGTAGCTTCATCAGCATAAAAAGGTTCTCCAACTGTGCTGACAATATGGCTTAGGCCTTTGGCTGTCCAGAATTGGTGAGGGATGTTGTAAAACTTTATCCATATAAGAATGCATCCAATGTTGTGTGGCTGAGAGTGAGAGTGTTAGTTCCATTTCATGAGTTAGAAGGGGTGCCCTGCAATTGACCATAGACCCTTTAAAAGTACACTGTCAGCCTCAGAAGAAGAGCTAAACCTAAAGATTACGGTGTTATTATCACCAATTATTGTATGTGTGAGCCCAAGAGGTTTCTATAGTTTAAATAGAATACGTTTATGTATTGAGATCCCAATAAGGTGGTACGAGGCCTAGAAGTTGATCCCTTCCTCTACAACTTCTTTAGGTGGGTCAATGTACATTGAGGAAGGAGGTGGTGGTAGGTAATCAAGGCTAATTTTGGAGGTTTGTTTGACCACCTCAGTCCAAGGTTTTGTCTGGTGGTTAATGACTGCTTGTTTGTGGGGGCTAAGTGCAGCTACTGTTGTATTGTCTGTTATGTGTTAGATGAGGTTGGAGAGAGAGAAAGGGAAGGGGGGGGGGGGGGGGGGGGTGGGCCCACTGTTGTTTGTGGAGTGTTTGGCTAAAAGCATAGAATTGGCAAATTTATAGTGACTGTGATGGAGTTGGTTGGAAAACAGTCTGCGATTTTACTATTTTGGATGGGGGCCTGCAGAGGGGACTTGACCAAATGTAGTGAATCTGAATTTGTATTTGAATTTGAAATCATACATGTTCCCTCTTTGAATTTGAAGTCATACATGTTCCATGTTGCTCTTGTAACCTATCAATCTGGTGTGCTGGGGAAGAATAGAGAAGAGGGTTAAAGTTCCTAGGTAAGTGAGGGTTAACATGAGGAGTATTGGGAGAGGTTTGATGTGTATGATGTGGAGGTGGAATAGAGGTAGAGGTAGTGATGCAGCGTGAGTCATTTGTAAGTATCCTTATAGGGTTAATGGTAGATGCAGGGAAGTGAATGTGAGGCTGACCAGAGAATGAGGATGGGATTAGTACGTGATAGATTTGTGTAAGTGAGGTAGTAGTGGGAGGTTTTTTAAGTAAGGTTTTTTGGTTAATCTGTTTGGGAGGTTTCTACTGATGTGGGATGGGAGATTTTTATGTTTGTTGTTGTTAAGTGGAATGTTGTTTGGTGAGGTAGCAACTTGGACTGTGCTATAGATGGATTGTTTCAGTGGTTTGAAGGGTAGTTTAAGGTGATTGGCAATGGGGTTGGCCGTTGATGGAGGTTTCTGGTGGATTGAAACTTTTGGTTTGTAGAGAGGCTTCTGTGGTGGCATAGTGGGTGTGATTGATGATCATTCCTTTCAAACAAAATTGTTCTGCACTTTATAGACATTGTCCTTCAATATAAGTGATTGTTTGGTCAAGAGATGTTGACACCTATTTTAACAAATTATGTGGCAGAGACGTGCCAAATGATGGGTGTAAAGTTAGGGTGGCAAATTACGACATGACACGATACGATAACACGATACGAGTTAAAATGGTTTGGCTTTGGCATAAACGGGATTGGGTCATAAAAGGGTCGACACGATTAACCCGTTTACTTAACCGTGTCGGGTTAGGGTTGAGAGGTTCAACTTGTGTAACTCGTTTATGATCCATTTAACTCAACATGTTATAATCATGAATATGACCTATGTAATATGTTACCTGTTTAAACCCAATTATTATGGATAGTTAAGTCATTTCAATATAAATCTTGTCTATACCTTATGATTTTTCTTTTTATTTTGAATATTTGGGTTAATTATATCAAATTTTTTCTATTATTTAATATTTAATTAAATATTAAATGTCTCGTTTTGATAAACAAGTCATTAAACGGGTTAACACGTTTACCTATTTAATAAACGGGTTGGGTTAGTGTTAATGATTCTTGAGACAATTATTAAATGGATTGGGTTTGGGTTTACCTATTTAGTATAATATCCTTACATCGACAAGACACGAACATGATACACGAACACGAATTGCCACCCCTAGTGTAAAGTGCATAACAATTTTAGTAACCAAGGTAGATAATGACAAGGGCTAATTTTGGGAATTAGATCACTTTAGTTATCTCAATTTAGTTGTGATAGATAATGATAGGATTATCTTGTGATAAAAGTTTATAGAGTTATATTGTCATCCAACTACTTACTTTTAGGAATTAGTTAAATTATAGAGTCTATAAATAACACTGATAGTGGTTTGTAAAAGAGGTCCAGCACCCTCAAAATAAATCTTTATTTTAATATAATTATGCTTTCTCAAACTCTCCCTCTCTTCAACTTTCTTTCTTTAGCAATCTTGCCATTCTGAGACTTTCTTTATCTAAGTCTCTCTCTCTTCTAAGTCTTTCTCTCTCCTTCCATTCTTATTCTATTATCACGGTTGTTACAATTCATTCATTGTTAAAGTCCTTTTACGAAGGCAAATTGAACTCACAAGTGAGAGTTTTATGTCCTCTTTCTCCTCCAATCTCCTTTCCTGATAGTCAATTTTCTCAAAGAGATTAAGATTGACTACACCTTATTGAACCACATTGCTGGTTCTGGCACTCCCGCATTACCAAATTTTTGAATCGGCTTAGGCAGCCGATTTTAGGGTCAACAAGAGTACTCTCATAATGCCTCTCTGCTATAGCCGCATAATCACTCATCCAATGTGTTAATGTTGCAGTCTTGGGATGTATTGAGAGTCTCTGTATACCTTCCTCCCCTTCTTCAGAAAAATACATCTTAAAGATTCGCAAGACACATCCGCCGGGAGAATGACCCACAAATGCCCCTTATGGGCTTTAAGATATCATATAATAACCTTGTGAACACCCTTTGGTCCTCGCGGATCCCATGTGGACCTGCGAGTCCATGCCATTCGCGAGACCTCGCGGGGAGACGTTTACCGCATCATCTTGCGGGTGAACTCCTTTGATACTGTTCCATCATATTTATGTAAGTTAAAAGGACTCAATCTGATCGTGTGGACCCGGTGTAAATATTGAATTAGCTAGGCATATTACATCATTGAATGATGAAGTACCTGACTGAATGAGCCAGGTATATCAGTTCATTGAATGGTGAAGTGCCCCGTAGGTGCAGTTTCACAAACAAAGCAGCTTTATTAAAGACAGAAACCTATAATCTTGGTCCGCATAAGATAAGGAGATTCTCCATTATTTCTCCACTACATTTCGTGCCAAATGTTTCTTTACCTTTTTCTAAATTTAATGCATTTTTCACTTAGCCGTACGAATAATACTATTTATCTACAAACTATTGACAATATATCAATGAAACAAATTATCCCACAAATAAATTCGAGAAGTGATGGAACCACAAAAAGAACTGTTACCAAAATTGAGCCCAGAAAACACCAAATTAAAGCCTCAGAATCCGCTTACCTTAAATCAAACCCCAATATATACAGAGGTAAGTTTTACTAGTGATGGAGAGGGTGAGAAATTGAAGAAGAAGAAGCTAGAGATGGAACTAAAACCCACCATCACTGTAGTGTTGTATATAGGAATTCAAAAAACCAGCCCCATTACAAAATCCAAACCAGGCATTTTCTCTTTTACTGGCCCCCATTTGTAACATCAGCACCATTCCAACTTTTTACGCAAAGAGAGAGATCTAGAAAATCCTTTCTCAATCACATCTAACCGCCATATAATAACAGGTGTGCGAATACAGTTAATTAATTTGTGTAGGTTAATTGATTTGTTATTTTTATTATTGTAATTAATTAGAAATTAAATAAAAAGATTAATTAGTATTTGAATTATTTTAGCAATTTTGTGATACTTTTGTTAAATGAATAATTAAAAAGAAACCTTACTAGTAAAATTTAGTGGATGCTATTGTGTAAAAAATAAATGACTTTGAACTTGAGTCACATAAAGCGGGAACGAATTCGAGAGCGAGAGCGACAGAATTAAGTCATGAGCAGTGAGAATTTGAGCGAAAGTGCGCACGGAGCATGGGAGTAAGAGCGCACACGAAGTTGAGAGATCGGAGCGTGAAAGCGATCCTTCTTGAAAAGGATTGTGTAACTTAGCTTTGAACATTAATAAGATAAAATATTTTCTTTAGACTATCATAATAAACAAATAAATTGACATCAATTAATTCTTTCATAAAAAATTACTTATACTTCTATTTCAATCAATGTGTTTGATAAATAAAAGATTACCATAATATAATTCTAGTGGACGTTACTAGAATTTTAGAAGAAAAAAAAAAATTGGGTATATAAGATAATGTAAATAAGGTCGCCCCACTTGGCCATTCTTTGCTCCAGCCCTAAATGCATATGTTATTTTACTTATATTTTAGAATGAAATATCTTATCATTAAATTTTGCTGCAAATCTTAAAATTAGTAAATTATGTTATTTTATTATTCATCCATTGACATGAAATCTCAACTACATGCGTTCATATATAATCAGACTACCTAACGCATCGACCCGACATGGTGCGTTGTACCACTGCCAGTAATACTGCTCGAAAGGATGACGTTGAATTGGATAAGAGAAGTGCTGTGCTATACAAGGCTCTAATGAAAGAAGAGACTCCGAGCAAGTTGGTTGAACTGTGTCAACGACGCTACCAATATCCGGAGGGTCCATTGCACGTTTTAACCATACACGGTGACACAGTACTTCATATGGCTGCACACACTGCCAAAGCGGACTCCGTAATTCAATTGCTAGAGATGTTGCCTGAGAATGAAAACTGCAAGCTTACCCGTCAAAATGCAGTTGGAAACACAATCCTACACGAGGCCGCGACTTGCAACAAATTAGTCCCAGCCGCCAAGAAAATGCTAGAAATGGCACCTGACTTGTTAAATATGCGCAACCATATTGGAGAAACAGCTTTTTTCAATGCAGCCCGCTATGGCCAAATTGAGATGTTTCTATTTCTTGGTACCAAAGTGGGTGATCAAAATATTGAAGGTGAAGCAGTGCCGCGCAAGACATTTTACCAGAGGGACGACAATGCCACTGTGCTACACATTGCTGTTATCTTTGGACATTTTGGTGAGTTCTCCTAGCTAGCTAGCTAATTTATCATCTTCAATTCCCTTGTGTTGTTTTACTAATTTTAATTCAATCGTAATGTAATTCAGTATAGGCTGCTTGTTATTTTCTGACACTAGAGTTTTGGGTTTGTGTGCTTTATTTTTTTTATTTTTTTTCATAATTTGGCAAATTTGTCTGATATATTAGCTTTATAAGGTTAAACTGATATATGTTATTATGTGGTGCCAAAGTAAGAACGAGTTGCCAGTTCTTCTCCGTTTCTTTTTATTTTTTATATTTTTTTCTTTTCATGAGGGTTAAAGCAACACTTTTATTGTAAAATATGCGCAGATTTGGCCCTTTTGATTGCAAAGCAGTGTGAATATTTGGTTGCTGAAAGAGACGAACATGGAATGACCACTCTTCAGCGTCTTGCATGTAATTCAGCGGCATTTGAAACAAGGAATGCAGGATCTTGGAAGCGTCTTGTCTACAGCTGTGAGATGCATTTTCAATATTAAAAAAAACACTCGTTCCGTTCCAAAATAAGTGTTATATTCTCTTTTTTTTTGTCTATTTCAAAATAAATGTCCATTTTTCTTTTTCAAACAAAATATTTCACATCTTTTTATATATTATCTTTCACTTTAAAATTTTAAATTTGAATATTCAAAACTTAAAAGGGCAAGTTAGTAACTTTTCAGGAGACGTTGCATATCTTACATGTCCCCTTAAAAATTACTACTTCCCAAGCAACATTTAAATTGGAACGGAGAGAGTAGTTATTATTAATATTTTTTTATTTCTTTTTATTTTATTTTAATTCAAAGGGGCATAGTTTAAAAAAATAAAAAAAAAAAATAAATAAATCACCTAACATTAATATAACAAGCAAAAAAAGAATTTTAAGAAAAAAAAAGGAAAAAAAATTTGAGATATATTTGAAAAGGAAAATTTGATTTTTTAAAAAAGAAATTTAAGGAATTTAAAGAATAAAAGAAAGAAAAAAAAGGGGCACGTGAGACGTGAAAACTTTACTTAATTTAGGTTTAGGGTATGATATATATATATATATATATATATATATAAACACACACATACATATATTATATAACATAATAACGGTTCGGTTCAACGGAATTCTAAACCAGGACAAGATCGAAAAATTACGGTTCCATAATTTTGGGTCGAGGACTCGACTAAACTGCTATACAACTAGCTCAAATCGTCCGATCTGGTCGGGTTCGATTTTGCGATTTGCCGAATTTTTTGAACACCCCTAGTTATTATTAATATTTTTTGCTGGTAACAAAACTTAAACACATTTTTCTCCGGTGAGAGGTTGTCAGTGACAATTCACAGATTTACAAAATTACTTATAAGCCCATAAAATTAAAGATAGTTTTTAGTATTTTTGAATGTTGATTGAGTCCAATTTGCACAAAAGACCAAATTGTCACTTAATTTGGTTTTGAAAAACACTCTCTTTTAACTCAAGTTTCATTTTTCTCTCACTAAACCTATCACTTTCGCTCTCACCATAGCATGGTATTGACTCAACATCATTTCTAGATAGCCAAATACCATTCTCCCTTCCTCACTTCCTCTCTCCTCTACATTCGCTCTTCAAATCAAGAGTCAATTTCAATCTAATAATTCATATATGCAGCTGAATAATGAATTCATTCCACGTTGATGGCTGTAGGTGGTGGCGTACCACCACATGACACCAAAGAGAAACTATCTCCACTGCCATTCATGGCTCAAAACTGCCACCTTTCTATTCAGCCGCTTCTTCGTTAGCGGTACCTTCATGAACTCTATTGTACCGCAATTAACGGTGTATTAGTCTTAAAGCATTAATGCTTTTACCCCACATCCTTTGTCATCAGCCTATTAGAGGGATATTAACTTCATAAGATTGATTGTTGCCGAGAATTAAATCTTTTATCACATCATACATGTACAAAAATATATATAAAAATAATAATTATATACATCAACGCACAACACAATAATTTACATAGTTCACCCAACTCTACATTCATATATGGAGGGGCAGTGGCATAGACAGGAATTTCCTTTAGTGGGAACAATTTTTAGTAGCAATAATATATATATATATATATATATATATATATATATATATATATGGATAATGCTTAGTTACTCACCGGTGAGTAATTTCACCCTACTCACTCTTTGTGTGTTCCAATAACAATTTACCACATCAACTTTAATAATAAAATAACCCACGACTTTAATAAAAAAAATAACCCACGTTTATTCAATGGTTGATCCGAGAAAATATAGGAGGATGTGAATTATTTTATTATTAAAGTTGATGTGGTAAATTGTTATTGGAACACACAAGGGGGTGGGTAGGGTGAAGCTACTCACCGGTAAGTAGCTAAACATTCTTCACTAGTAAGTAGCTCAGCATTATCCTATATATATATATATATATATATATATATATATATATACATATACATATAATTTGAACCAAAATAATATATGTAAAAATTAAACCATTGATTCATAATATTTTTATTCAGTACATTCACAACTGCCCTCGACGATTTTTTATATTCTGAAAGCGTTAAATAATAATATCATTGTCAACAGTACTAAATATGTTTCTCTCAATATACACAACCATCATATCATTTATTCATTGGTCTTCCTTTCGATTGCGCAGTCGAGTTTTCAAAATATTCATGGCATAATAATCGTAAATTTAGATGATAAAAAAAAATATCAGATTACCTATCTTCGCACTACAGTATTTGTTTAGATTTTGTGAATTTTTTAAAATGTTAAAAACTCGCCAAAAGAAAAATGTTGAAGACTGAAAATGTGATGAAAATAATGTATTTGTTTGTGGTAAAATCAGAAGTGTGAAAGAATATCTTATATTTTGTGGGAAATAATATAATATTTTGAATATTTTTTTGTAATACAGTGAATGGTCATTTGGTTATATATAATATATATATGTGCACGGTCAAATTTTAGTGGGGACAATTATATAAATATATAAAAAAATTCATATAAAATTTAAAAAAATTAAAAATTCAGTGGGGGTAGCTGCCCCCACTTGTCCCTTTGTGGCTAGGCCACTGTGGAGGGGGAGAGATTTCACCATCATATATTAAGAAAAATAATATATAATCACATATGTCAAAACCTACACTATTTCTCACTTTTTTATTTCTTCACTCTTTTCTTCTTTCACTCTTAGATCTCGTTTTTTCACTCTTCTGTTCTTTTTTGGGCTAAGAACACCACATCTCCGGTTCTCTTTGGGCTAAGTATCCCTTTTTTCTCAAGTTAAATCTCGAAGAATTACATATACTCACCTCTCTTCTCACAACACTTATCTTTCAACCCCTTACATCTTTTTTTTTTCTCTCTATTTCTCTACCCAAACCCTCCTTTATTTACACTCTTCAAATTTCAATTCCCTGTTGGATAAAAATTCAACCATTTACCTACAGGTATTACCACATCAATCACAACTTTAAAATAAAAGCATCCCAATAAAAAAATAATTTCTTTCACAAGTCTCTTTGAAAAGTCCTAAAAAAAAAAAAAAAAAAAAACCCTAAACTAATTGTCACGAATTTCGAGCCACAAACCCAACACAGTTAGAAAATGAAAGTCACCGCACCGCTATATATGCTCCAATTACGACGACAACAGGATGAAAAATAACTCAATACCTTCTTAGCCACAATATATATATTTTTAATCTTTAAGGTCGACTTAATTCGTTATTGTTTACAATCTCAATTTCATCATCAATTGCACATCTTTTTTAATTGATTACGTCTAAATAAAATTATGGTTTATTAATTAACTAGAGTAATAATGTGCAATTATAAATTATTATCAAATAATATAGAATGATAGTGTGATAAATAAATCGAAATAATTATATATTGTTATATTAATATATAATTTTGTTAATCTTATAATGGGGGTAATTATAAACCAAGCGCAATATTTTCTTTTCATTAGTCATGTAATGAGGTGTAAACATGTAATTTTACAGCACGGTTGGAAAGGAAAATAATCCTTTTACACACCTAAAGGGCAAAAATGGAATTTTATTTTATTTATTTTTTTTTGACATCAGCATTTCAGGCATTGACTCATGGTCAGTAGGCTCAATATTAATGAGGGGAAAATGAAATACTCTCTGTCACAAAATGAGTCTTCTTTTGAAAAATTTAACTTCTTAAGGAATAATTGAGATATTCTTATGTTACCGCCTTCATATCTTTTAACTTGCATTTTGTTTGCTTTTTCAAAAGAAGGGGCATACTAATTAACATTAAAATACAAATCCAACAAATGAACCATATTTCCCATCCCATAAAAAAAACAAGAAAAGAAAAACACTTTTTCCTGACGTTTTATTATTAGGCCACATCTCTGTTTATAATATTTTTGTTTGGTAGGATGGACGAAAGGGGTAGAGAAAGACAGGAAAGAAAAAACAAATTTCTTTCATTTAGTAGAGATGAGACAAGGAGAGAAAAGAAAAGAGGATAGATAGGTTATTTTTCCTCCTTCATAAATTTTCTTCCTTTCAAATATGAATTGAAAACACAGAGAAAGAAACGCAATGCTATATTAAATGTTTTTAAATTACAAACTTTTCTTATGATTAACACTTTCTCTTCTCTTCTCTTACACCAAACAAAATAAGGTTTTATTATATTCTCTTCTCTTTCTTCTAACCAAACAAAAAGAAAAAAATATACAAACTCTTCTCTAGGAATGCGTCATTGATCTATTCTTTCCTCCCTAGCATCTAATTTTCTTCCATACTACCATACCGAGTAAATGAAAAAGAAAAGAAAATAACCAACTTTAGGTGGGTCAAACGTTACAAAGTTTCCTAATATAGTTTAATGTTATCAAGAGATTTCAGCTTCAAGACCTAATATAGTCCAATGATGTCAAGAAATGCCTGCTTTAAGGAGAAAGTTCCTTCTCACTGAGCAGGAGGCCGGAACTATTGTTAATTACAAAATGAATCTTACACATACTCTACATGAACAAAAATAATGTCCCGTGCACTGATGGGAAATTGGTGATTTTTAGGTCTCTTGAAAGTTGAAAATTAAAATTTACAGCTGCAATGAAAGGAAAAGGTACACATGGGAACTTATATATATAATAATAAAACTTCAGATAGAGTTCCATTATTGTTAGTTTTCATGGATTATTGACTTTGATTTGTTGGAAATGAAGATGCATGGGTTTGGAAAGTGCCTCTGTGGGAAGCAATTAGGAAGGAAATGCTAAAATATGAATCAGCCGAGAAACTTGCCCACTTCTTAGTAGAATTAGATAATACATCATGGAAGCTTAAGCAAACTAATCATCTAGAAGTTGAGCCAAGTGAGAACCAAAACAATGGATGGACTTCAATATCATCTTCATCAGCTTCCTTCAAGATTGATGGGGAGAAAAGCAATAGTACAGAAACACCATTATTTTTGGCAATTAAAGCTGGGTGTGTGGATATTGTTGAGATGATACTCCAATTGTACCCTCAGGCAGTTGAGCATGTTGATGGCAATGGGTGCAACATTTTACATATAGCCATCAAATATCGACAACTATGGGTCTTTGATGTGTTGCATCAAGTGGGAATTCCTTGGAGGAGGCTTATTGTGCGAAGAGACAGAGATTTGAATACCATTCTACATATGGTTGGACAAGATTGTATATTCGAACCAGTGCTGGGAAACTTTATTGTCCAATTGCAAAATGATCTGCTCTTATTTGAGGTACTTGCACTTCTACAATGTCATTTACTTGCGCTCATAGACAATCCCACTCCTCTCCGAATGTGAGAGCGGCTGGCTGGCCCCATACTACTGTGCTGCTGTGTGTCCCACCAGCTCCTCTCACATTTGGTTTCGTAGCCAACTTAAATCCTCAACATTTTACTTCCGGTGAAAAAGTTTTATTAGCATCCCTTGCAAAAAGCGCAGTGTAGAATAATTTTACATTTCCTATTATTTTAGGGTTGAGTTCGATCACGATATATAATATGTTTTTGATTGATTTATATATAGTTGTGCTGATGTATGTGGATGCAGCATGTAAAGAAAATTTGCTCATCATGTTCAATAGATTCAAGTTTGTGTCGCAACCGTGAAGGGAAGACTGCTGAAGAAGTATTTGTTAAGAATAAGGAACATCTTCGCATGAAAGCTGTAGAACAGGTGAAGAACAGAATAGAAAGCTGCTCATGGGTTGGTGTGTTTGTCTCCGCTGTTGCCTTTGCGGCAGTGTACACTGTACCAGGAGGTTTAGATCAAGAAACAGGCGTTCCAATATTTCTCAACCACCCATTCTTTCTCATTTTTATCATCGCCGATGCCCTCTGCATTTTGTGCACTCTCATTTCATTGGTTTTGTTTTTCTCAGTCCTCATTTCATGGTTTCGCTTCCAAGACTTCAAGCTCTCTGTTCCAGGAAGGATAGCAGCAGGTAGTACAGTTCTAATTTTCTCAGTGTCAATGCAGGCATTGGCATTTGGGGCGTCCGTCGTCCTTCTAGTACAAGAGGGAGAACAGTGGACAAGAATTGGCTATTACACAGTTGCATTCCTCCCCTTTACCGTCATGTCTGTCTCGTTCGTGCCTTCCTATTTATTTCTTGCGCGAATGCTGCTAATGTCCAACATCTATATAGCAGGAGGAGTTACAGGACCTCGATATAGCCGCTTTTCTTTTCGATCTTGCATCAAACGTTTATTCTGCTTCGGTAAATTTATAACATCACCTCCCTCCAGCAAAACTCCAGTTGAACAAACTACTCCTCCTGTTGTTTGAAATCAAGGCCGAAAACACCTTCCTATCCTGCTAGATGAGATGATATATCCTTTCTTTTATATATACATATATGCATGCTCTCTCCAGTCTTCCAGGTATTAATTGTTACAATTAAATTTCCTTTTACAATGTCGATTGATTCCTTGTAGTACGGTTTTAAAACTTTCACTATATATGTACTTCTTTTATTATGACGAATATACGGTTTCATTATGTATTTTTAAATTATCATTATCATGCAAATTCATTCTTCACCAAGTTCATGAACAGGATGAACTTCAAAAGGAGGTTAATTAAGACTTATAGGAATAAAATAGACCGCGAAAGCTGACATGTCAATCTCATTTGAAACACACACACAAAAAAATCGATAGAATGTTTGGTGTTCGATGAGGATTCGTCAGACTCTAAAGAGACCTGTGAAGCTTGCTTTTCGACTAGCAGGCTTAATAGAAGAATTTGAAGGATCGTTGTCAATTCCACCCGAAGAATCTAAGCAACTTCTATGAGGCTGTCAATTTGGAAACCAAGTTTCTTGCAGAGATTCTTGGCAGGAACTCTCAAGGACGGAATCGACATGAAGTGATATATGGTGGACATTTCTAGCTCTGCATTTTTTTAATTGCTCTTTCCAGCAGTTTTCCTCCATGGCCTTGCCTCCTAGACTTCGATCTCCTTCACTATTTTTGTTTGTCATTGACCCATGAAGAGGAATGTGGACATACTATTTGGATTAAATATAAAAGTAAAATCAAATTATACATAATCTAACCATTTCCCCATCTTGGAAAAGACAAAACAACGGATAATCCAAAGAAAAGAAACAGAAACCCACAAAGAATCCATTTATTTGTGCAGTCTAATCAAGTGTACGTGGAGTGTGGACTCCTTTTTTGATTTATATCTTCATATATATAGCATTTTTTGCCACTGCTTGGAATCGTTAATTATAGCATACATATCCTTTCTCACTAACTTTGATTTTGTGAAGGAAAATGAGTCTATTGATCTATGTCATAGGGGATTGTTGGCTTGTCTCTTCCTTGAAGACAGAAGACAATAGAAAAAGAATAAGTGATTTGAAAGATTTTGATTTTTTATTGGAATACGTGTTTGCCAAGCCAAGTCTGATTCGTCCTTTTGGTTCAGCATCATCCTTCTACTCCCTCATTCTTCAGGCATAGTGTTCGGTACACCACGCATTTTTCCCGTCTTTCTTGAACTGTCATAGGCACTCTGCGTGTTCTACAATCATTTTAATCTTTTCATATTATATACTGTACTTACTAAATGGAAAATAACTCCACTGATAGAAGCCCCCCTCCTCAAGAGGAAGGTCCGATGTTCAAACTTCCGTAGAGATATGGGTATATGTATTTGCTTAATTTTCCAAATATATATATTATATATAAATCTTGTGAAGAGTAGAGAGAATAATTGTACCTTAGCTTGATTTTGTTGCAAACTATGGGATATAAATCTTTTTTATTTCTCAAAAAGAATTTTAATACACTATGGTTGGGCCTTTAAAGCCCCCGTTGCATTAAGCCGGCCATGTGATGACCCAAGGGTTACAAAGCTTTCAAATCCCTTGATTTTTTTCTTTGTGCGTGAAACCACCACCATACCCAAAGATTGATTCGAAACAATTGTTTAATTGAACGATCATGATATGATGAACTTTAGGTTAAAAAGCAGGTATATATATATATACACGTACTATAAACTTTACTTGTCAATCTAAGTAAAGAATAATAATAAGTTTGATTGGATACCTTGATGAGGCTCATAACCCAATTGATTGAGTGTAATCAAGAATGTGTATATACAGAGACAGATATATATATATCTAGTCGGCCTGCCTATGATCACATCCATCAATCCGGCGGTAGGCATGGCGCATTCTTACTCTACTGGTTGGAATGATGATAATGTTGAATTATACAAGTGTAATGGTTTGCTTTACAATGCTCTAATGAAAGAAGAGAGAAGCAAGCTGGTTGAACTGTACTGTCGACAGCGTGGACAATATCCAGAGGGTCCATTGCAAGTTCTAACTATTAACGGCGACACAGTGCTTCATATGGCCGTACACACAACGAAGTCTGACTTAGTAATTCAATTGCTACATTTGTGTGGAGAAAATTGCTAGCATTATTCATGAATTGGAAAGCATTTTTGGTGCATTTTTATGGTCTGGTCCTATTCTGAAATCTACTGGGGCTAAAATTGCTTAGGAGAAGTGTTGTCTACCTAAAAGAGTGGGTGGTTTGGGGTTGTCCAACCTCTCTACATGGAATGAAGTTGCAATCATGAAGCAATTTTGGAGAATTATCAATTCAAAAGACATGCTATGGGTTCAATGGATAAGTACTTACCTGCTAAAGGACAGATGTATTTGGGAGGTCAAAGTGCCAGGCCAATGCTCTTGGAGTTGGAGGAAGATCCTTAGCCTCGGAGACAACTTCAAACCCCTTGTCAATCTAAAAATTGGGGATGGGAATTCCATCAATTTCTGGTTTGACAATTGGAGCCACTTAGGTCCTCTGCATCAACTGGTCTCACCTCATCAACTTTTCCAATTAGGACATGACTATAACGACCCTAAATTGAATACCGAAAATAATTAAAAAAATTTTAAAAAATTTCGGCATGACCTCCTCTAAAAATGGTTGTACAACAACCTGTTCAAATGAAGAAAAAAAAACAACGGCCTTTCAAGACCTATCCAACCTGCACCAATACACAATACAAATGACATATAATGCATTCCCCAATACTACAACATCAATAACCTTCCCAAAGTAGCCCATCATCGTCATCCCCTTCAACTTAAGCATTTACATGGTCTCAGTTTACAACAAAAATAATCAAGTGTCTTAGTTATGTTACAGGGCAATGATATGCAAAAGTAAATACTCTTTTACATAGTTTGAGACAATACAAAAAAAAAAAAAAAAAAAAAAAAAAAAAAAAAAAAAAAAAAAGGGCTAAGATACAAAATATAACAAAATACAACTTCTAATCTTCTTCAAGCTTGCGGGGGATTGTCATCCGCCACTTCATTTCCGAGCCCTAAAAAATGTTAAATAATAGGGGTGAGCAAAATTGCTCAGTAGGTAGTGCCTAAGGCACACTTCTTGAGACCCCGTGAATCCACACAATGAATAGGAATAAGGAAATTAGGATCATACCATGCTGGGAGTAAAAGTATAACTATGATACCTCATCATTAATCCAATACCACAAATAAATATGCCATGCACTGACATGCCGTGCCATGCAATATCACTCCTCATTTTCCCAAAGCCATTTCTATTATCATTTCCAAACCGTTAGTGAACCCGTCCCATGGCAACTCCATGGCGGCACGAGAGGAGGATTGGCCACTGTCCCTGACCCATGACAACTCCATGGCGTCATTTGGGGCCAGGTAACTCAACCACACTAGGGCGGTCTCCTTAGCCCCCTCTAGGCCTCACTAATGCCGCGGTCCCTAGGCAACTCCTAAGCGGCCGGGTTTTTCACAAAAATCCATTTCAAAATTCTTTCCCAAAATCCATTTCATTTCTTTCAAATCAATTTTTCCCATTCTTTCCCAATGAATGCATATATGTCTTATGCATTTCAATGACGTACCAATTTTTTTATTTTTTATTTTTTATTATTATTATTTTTTTTGTTACAAGTCAAATATTTACAATATACATCCCTTATAGGAATATTCTAGAAATTTACATCATGCTTCAAAATCATAAAATTCAGCATATAGATATGAAATTTAACATCAATTTAACATGGTCCTTTATCACATAACAACTAACATGTATATATACATATCTCATATACAACATATAACAAATATGAAAATAACAAAAATTAGAACATAAATTAAACAAAAATTATGAAAAATAATTCACCAAAATCTAAGAGATTATGGATTAAACACCCCTACCTCAATTTAAGCCAAAACCCTCAATTTCTACCTCAAACCCTCAAAATGGGTCAAGATTTTCGGACTCCCTAGGTTGCTCAAATCTAAAATTGCTGGTACACAAGTGTAGAGCTCGCCGTGCTCTCCGTTTTGCCGCAAACGACACTTAAAAACACTAAGAATTGAGAGAGGAATCAAAGGTTGAAATGGTGGAAAATAAGAAAAGAAGAAAGCAGGAAGAGAAAGAGAGAAAGAGCTTTGCCCGAGTCTAAAGAGAGAAATGGCCACAAAAAAAAATAATGTATGCTTATATAAAATGTGCGTAGTGCTTTGTGGGGCCCACTCAAAACAAATCTCACTTTTATACTTTTGTAAAATAAATAAACATTACATTCTCCCCAACTTAAAAAAGATTTCGTTCCCGAAATCAAGTCATATCTGTGGAAGAAAATAACGCTGGGTACTTGGTGCGTGATTAGCGCTGAAAAGTGCGTATTTAAACCCCTTAAGCTTAAGCATTCTAGTACCTTTATCTATCTTACTCTACCGTTTTAGATTGATTTCGTATTATTTCCATTTTCAAGCATTTATCCCGAAAATAAGCTAACAAATAAGAGCTTAATTGAAGCAATTCTGGGATTAAACAAAGAAATGAGCAAAGTGGAGAAAGAAAGAAGCAAATGAAGCCAAAAGTGGGAAGCAGCAAAGTTCGATCGATCTAACTTCAAGGTTTGATCGATCGAACACTGATCGATGTTAGCACTTCAAGATAGATCCAAGCCTTAGCCCAAAAGCAAAAAGTCCAAAGTTCGATCGATCCAACACCACCCTTCGATTGATCGAACACTTTTGTCCTTATTCAAATGATTGATCCTATCCACAACTGTACTACCCCACTACAAGAAATGGTGATATTAAGGACAAAAAAAACTGTCCCTATAGGTGCCCAATCCGTCCCTAATACCTTTTTGGGACGGCTAATGCAACCGTCTCTATATATAGCGTCCTAAAAGGGTTTTAAGGACGGACTAATTGAGACGGAATAAAACTCCGTCCCAATTGAGCATTAGGGACCGAAGATAATTATCCATTCCAATTGAGCATTAGGGACGAAATTTTATTCTGTCCCAATTGAGTATTTGGGACAGATGTTTATGCCATGTCCCAATTGAGTATTTAGGACGGATGTTTATGCCATCTCAAATTGGTATTTGGGACGGATGATGTATTTTTTTTATTTTTTATTTTTTGGCATATGCTATATTCGATTCATAGCCTGCTATATCCATCCATTCATAATCTACATGCT